TTCAAGTCACAGGTGACAAAACTGTCTACGAAAAGTTATAATAATTATCCCACCATCGTGCAGGATCTCACATCAGTCTAAGGCTGGCAGAACATGAAGAGAGAGAAAATCAACCACATTCCAGAACATATGTCTGATCCTATAAGATGTGGTACTGAGGCAGCAGCTCAGAGGCTCAAGTGTGCAGGATCCAGCACTAGCAGAGGAAGAAAACTCCCCTCCCCTCCAGCACAGGGCTCCACCAGATCAGATACAGCAATAGACACTGATGCTTCCTCTGAAATCTTTTTCAAGGCAAGAAAGGGTAAAACTTAGAAGTCAGGAGGGTCAGGGATGACTTCTAACATGGAATCCTACTGTATACTATCACCTCAATTCAATGCTTCATGCCCAACTAATTTCCATGTAGCTCATTTCAAAATAAGTTGAGCTGTCATCTGTGGAATTAAACTTTTGAATAAATGCCTGCACAGTGGTACCTTGGGTTAAGTACTTAATTCGTTCCTGAGGTCCGTTCTTAACCTGAAACTGTTCTTAACCTGAAGCACCACTTTAGCTAATAGGGTCTCCTGCTGCCGCCGCACCGCCAGAGCATTTCTGTTCTCATCCTGAAGCAAAGTTCTTAACCTGAAGCACTATTTCTGGGTTAGCGGAGTCTGTAACCTGAAGCGTATGTAACCTGAAGCATATGTAACCTGAGGTACCACTGTATAGGATTTGGGCAGGGCAGGGTGATGATATGATAGCATATATTTGCTGTCACAACCTCAGAATTATAAACAAGGATGGAGACTCTGAGAAAGGATGTGGAATACAACTGCTTTTTATAAGGTCAAATGCAGCTTTGGACTGCGCTCACAAACGAATCATATCAAAATCAATAAGATATTGGCCATGATACTGTTCTAATGAAGGGGTTAGGGTTATATAGTTACGAATTGATTAATGCACCACTTAATGCTATTAAAATAAGATTTAAAATAAAAAATGCACAATTAAAATATAATAAAATACAAGCTATAATAAATATAATAAAATATACAACAAACAATCCCATTAACAGAAATTTCCAGGTTCAATATCTGGCATCTCCAGTTAAAAAGAATCTAACTCGTCCTGCAGAGCCACTGCCAGAGTATAGGGTAGAAGGCTGTTCATGTTCCTTCAGTGTTTCCAGAGAAACATGAGTCATAGCATCTCTTCAAGAAACAGTATTGTGCAACTCTGACTGGGGAATATGAAGGACCTTACTCTTCCTAGGGGTTGTAAATAAGTGCATACATTTGGAGAGGATTGACTTCAACAGCATGAGCTAGATTGCTAGGGGTTTGCACTCACATCTATAGATCAAATATGTATACAGCTGCATATGTAGCACATGCAGTGAAAAGGATTCACAGTGTACAGATTGTGATTTCTATCAATGACCCTTGTTAGAAGAAGAGTTTGGATTTGATATCCCGCTTTATCACTACCCGAAGGAGTCTCAAAGCGGCTAACATTCTCCTTTCCCTTCCTCCCCCACAACAAACACTCTGTGAGGTGAGTGAGGCTAAGAGACTTCAAAGAAGTGTGACTAGCCCAAGGTCACCCAGCAGCTGCATGTGGAGGAGCAGAGACGCGAACCCGGTTCACCAGATTATGAGTCTACCACTCTTAACCATTACACCACCACTTTTAATCAGGGATGATGGGAGTGCATAGCCCATAACATCTGGACATCACTGCATGGGCTAACTGTTCTCTACAAAGAGTATTTTCCATCACCTCCTACCTGATCATTTTTACCTAAGGATCAAATGTCAGACCTTCTGCATTCAAAAGATGTGCTCTTCATCTGAAGTATAGTCCCTCTCCCTTCTTCATAATCCCCAACGTGCTGTGGAATCAGTCATTCTTACTCTGGAACACTATCACCTCTTCTTCATGTGTTCTATGGCTGAGTTCTGAGGCTGAAATCAAACACCAGGACTGAGCTCCACCACAGTTTAACTTTTGGAGTTGCACCAACAAGCCTAATGCACACCAGCAGGTGCAGTTATAACCTCCCTTCCCCCAGTTTTTGAGACATGCAATAGTTTTGTACGAGACTGATATGGGGCACACGGCTGTTTCCAGAGGAGTAGCCCCAATCAACCGTAGCCCCAAACAACAGAGCACTATTGTACTGGCAAGGAAAACCTCAGTCAATCTGCAGTGCAACACGATATGATGTCACTTTGCCGGCGTAGTAATATGGTATACCATCCTCCAAATGCATCTCACAGGATAAAGATGTTTAAATCTTCGGCACTGTCAGTGTTTTCCGAAATTGTAACACAAACTACTCCATCAGACAATAGCTTAAAGAAAAAAAGACTATAAAATGGATCTGATGCTTGAATGTTCCTCTAACAAAAGTGTTTTTATTTTGCGTCTCAGAACAGAAGCAAAGCAGAAAATTAATCAGCAACATAGCAAGCACATTGTCTAAGAGTGATTCAATATAAAGCAGTCTCAAAGCTGTTCATTGTCTCAAAGTTAATAAATTTTATTGTTCATTAGCAGCATAATAAACCTGGTGGGCTCTTAAATGGGCTGTGTTCCTGTTTTCAGACCATTAAATTAAACCCAACAATGCCATTGCTACCTGTCGATTTGTTTCCAAACTAATATTGGGTGTTAGCTGACATTTGTGAATGCCAAAGCAATGGTAGTGTATGCACTTACTGCAAACAGCAGTCATATGTTCCAAACCAGTGAGAGTAATGCACCATGTGGAAAAAATTGAGAACCAAGCACACACATGGATCCTGCACTCATAGCTTCCAACAGTGGGTCTCTGGGTCAAGCACTGGTTACTCTTTGTGCATTGTTGCGCAGATGGAGAGGTTTTAATTCCATCCCATGGAGATATTGCAGGAGAAAAACTGCGTGAATACAAAAAATGGCACATGCTACAGTAAGAAAGATTAACTCACATGTAATACACAGCAGTCCATACAAACAAGGTCCATACAAACAGTCCTGGACAGTAAAGTTCAACTCCTTTACAATCACACTTGGAATATTGTGTACAGTTCGGGTTGCTGCACTTCAAAAAGGCTATTGTGGAAGGAACAGAATATGGCAACCAAGTGATCAATGGGCTGGAGCACCTTTCTGATGGATAAAGGCAAAAACATTTGGGGTGTTTCTTGTTTGATTAATAGAATTCACTGCCATGAGATAGCTCAGTTGGTAAAGCATGAGACTCAGTCATGGGCTTGAGCTCCACATTGGGCAAAACACTCCTGCACTGCAGGGCGTTGGACTAGATTACTCTTGTGGTCCCTTCCAACTCTAGGATTCTGTGATGTTGTGAAGCTTAGTTGAATTTAAGAGGGTATTCGACAAATTCATGAAGTATACACCTATCAGCAGCTAGTAGTCGCAGTGGCTATATGGAAACTCCAGGTTTCAGGCTCAGTATGCCTCTGAATACCCATTATTTGGGAATAACAGTAAGGAAGGGGAATTTCCACCTGTTGTGCATTGCCAAGTGCATTGTGGGAAATAGGATACTTCTGTTCTGTTCCAGCAGGGCTCTTCTTATGTTCAGAACATTTACAAGAATCCTCTGAATAGTCAACTTTTGTTGAGGCTTCAGCATGATTCAAAAATGAATTATTGTGGAAATCCTCCCTTTAGAAAGAGCTGATAATACTTCCTTACAAACTGGAGCTTCATTTTAATTCCTGTCTGAAAAGGTTGAAAGGATCTGAAGAAGCCTGCAAGTCAAGGACAGGTGCCTGTTTCATACATTGTAGGATCAAATATCATTACAAAAAGGGGGGTGGGGTGTAGAAGCTATCTACCTCTCCACAAGTCTTCCAAGGAAATGTTTAATTTCAGAAGAAAAGAAAATGCCATCAGTTTGAGCAAGTGTGACAGCTGCTGTCGTAAAGCAGATTAGGTGTGCTAGGTTCGTAATCTAAAAGATGTGAGTCAATAACAAGTGGGAACTTGGGAGACTTTGAAGAGACATAAAAGAAAATAATGGGGGGAAAATGAAAATAATCATATGTTTCAAATATAGCATTAAGAAGGAAATGAAAATGAAAAAAATGAACATCTAAATAATAGAGTAGGGATGTCAACTTTTTAGCTGTGCTATAACAATATAGTTTCATCAGCTGTTGATTTGTTGCTTTAAATAGTTGTTTGGATTTTATCCTTTGTCAGGATACTTTCAGCAAGCAGCCTAGGAAATCCTTTAATGAACACCTTATTCCAGTCTCCATCTGTAATGGGATTTGAGATACATATATGTATGTGTGTGTGTGTGTGTGTGTATAATTGTTAATTGCTTCAGAATAGTGCTTGGACTACTGCAATGTGCTTTATGTGAGGCTACCTTTGAAGGTGACCTGGAAACTACAACTAATCCAGAATGTGGCAGCTAGACTGGTGACTGGGAGCGGCCACAGACACCACATAACACCGGTCTTGAAAGACCTAAATTGGCTCCCAGTACATTTCCAAGCACAATTCAAAGTGCTGGTGCTGACCTCTAGGCCTAAACGGCATCGGTCAAGTATTCCTGAAGGAGCTTCTCCACCCCCATTGTTCTGCCCAGACACTGAGGTCCAGTGCCAAGGGCCTTCTGGCGGTTCCTTCACTGCGAGAAGCCAAGTTACAGGGAATCAGGCAGAGGGCCTTCTCGGTAGTGGCACCCACCCTGTGGAACGCCCTCCCACCAGATGTCAAAGAGAAAAATAACTGCCAAACTTTTAGAAGGCAGCCCTGTTTAGGGAAGTTTTTAATCACTTATGTTTTAATGTATTTTTAATCTTTTGTCGGAAGCCACCCAGAGTGGCTGGGGAAACCATTCTGTATAAATATATTATTATTATTATTATTATTATTATTATTATTATTAAACCCTTAATAAATAAAATATTGTGGAATTACTGTATTCCAGCTGCATATGTGTGTGGCGGGAAAGAAAGGTATTACAGAAGGGGAAATGCATTCTGCATATGGTCCTGGGCACTCGTGTCCTTTCCCACTTGTCATCAACCCCACAACAGGCTTCCCGCGTCAGGCAGCCCCTCCGCCCCTCCCGCCCTACTCCCCATCCCCCCGCCCCGTGAGTCCACACTCGTGGGCTCCGCGGGGGCGGCAGTCCTCCATAGGCGGCTGCTGGGCCTTCTGGCCAATCCCCGTTCCGCGTGCACCGACGGCGCCGTCCCAGTGGCGGCAGAAGGAGCCGCCACATGCCCTGGCAGGGGCCGCCCAAGAAGTCGTCCAGCAGCAGCAGCAGCAGCTGAAGTTGTGTCAGGAAGCCTGCGCGCTGGGGGTCGCTCTTCTCCTCAGGCGCCGCCCGCAGCCCTTCTCGTGGCGGTTCCCTCGCTGCCTATTTTAGTCAAAGCCTCGGCTTGCCTCTCTCAGCGGCGGCGGCGGCGGCGGCAGCGCAGCCAGGCGCGCGGCGGGACGGGGCTGAGGAAGGGACGGGGGCGCGTCGCCGGCGTTGGCGGGCAAACTTGGTGGCAAGGTAAGGGGACGAGAGAGGGGGGGAAGGACGCGCGGAGGGATTTTCCAGACGAGGGAAGGAAAGGCGAGGCGGCTCTCTGTGTGTGCGTGTCTTCGGGGTTCATTGGCGCGGCTGCCGAGGGCGCTTCTCCAGAGAGACGAGGAGCCTCGCGCGCTGCTTCTTCGGTCCCCTCGGCGGATGGGTCTCGCCTGCCAGCCCAGAGCTGTAATGTGGGGAAGGCTGCTGAGGCGCGAGGCTCCCGGGAAGCCCCACCCTCTCAACTTGGCTCGCCCGAGTTCGCGCGCTGCTCTGGGACCGAGTCCCCTGGGAGGGTTTGCGGTCGCCGCCTTGAGCGCCTCAGGCGCCGGCTCCCCTTGAACTCCGCGAGGCGTCGAGCTCCTGCGTCCGACCTGCGAGAGAGCGGGCGGGCGGGCGCACTTGGAGGACGCCGGCACAGCTGCCCGCTCGGCCTTTTGCCCCGGAGCGGGAAGAGGCACTGATCGGCCCCTTCCGTCTGCCGCGGGGAGATAACAGAGCGAGGCAGTCCTGGAGCGAAGGGAAAGGAAGTGTAAGCACGGAGGGACGGCAGGGGATAGCACGGAGCAGGCGTTACTTTGCATGTCATTCTATTTAAGAATATTTTGAAGGGGAAACAATTAAGATTCATGGGTGCCACTTCTGAGTTGACGCGGCATCTTAAATGGTCCCAATCCGTATTGCAGGGTTTAATTTCTAAAATGAGAAGTACTGGACCACAGGCCTTCCTTGAAATGATAATTGGTGCGTGCTCAACAAGGCTGAAATGGGGAGTTGGACTATCAGGGTTTCCCAAACTTGGGTCTCCAGCAGTTTTTGGACTACAACTCCCATGCTCCCTAGCTAGCAGGTCAGGGATGGTGGGAACCGTGATCCAAAAACTGCCGGAGACCCAAGTTTGGGAACCCCTGGACTAGATGATCTCGGAGATCCCTTCCAAGTCTAGAACTATGGTTCTGTCACACTAATCTGACGATTACAAATTAGTGCACACCAAAAATAGTCTTTGGGCATTCCCAAATCATAACACTAAAATTTCTGTGTACCTAGCCCAAGATCCAAACTTCAGCCTTTTCGCACACACTTTTATTCACTAAGACGTTTTCCTGCCACAGTTTAGAGAGGGCTTGCTGTGTTAATTTGTTGCAGCAGGAACAACAGCCTTGCAGCACTTTTCAAAACTAACATAAGCTTCAGTGGACTAGATTCAACAAAGGTCTAGTGCAGTAATACATTTGTTAGTTTTTTAAAGTGCTACAAGACTTTTTTTGGATTTTATTCTTTTCTTGCCCTTCTTTGACAAAGCCAAGGAGGTTCACATTAAAACAAATAGATTGCATTGTGTTTTTGTTGAGCCATGGCCTAGATAAGACTCACTTGCAGCCATGGGCCTAGCCAGGATTTATGTTAGGCGGGTCAGAACCATCTGCAACATGATTGGTCAATTAGTTAAGTATTTTTATTTATTTACTTGATTTGGATGGCAGCTGTCCCCTGTCCCTCTCCTTGGCTTCACCCATGCTTGCAGCCCAATCTTATGCCACTCTGAAGTACCGTAAGTCCCACAGAGTCCAATAGGGACTTAGAAGGAAGGGCATGGTCTGAAGGCATATGACATGCAATCAGCTGCCTGCAGCGGAGTTTCTCAGTGTGAGATCACCTGGGAAACTCATGCACACACTTGCTTGAGCTCTATGATGGAAGAAAGTCAGAATATAAATGTAGCAAATAAATAATAAGAAGCATAGCCATGTTTTCGTTTTGTAGGTTGGAAGCCAACCATGAGGTAGAAATACTTACTTAGTTACTGCATTCATATCCCATCCTTTTCTCAGAGGAGCACAAGATAGAATACATGGTTCACCCCCTCCTTAATCCCCACAGCAACCCTGCGAGATAAGTTAGTGACTGACCCAAGATCACCCAGTGAGCTTCATGGCTGAGTAGAGATCTGAACCCTAGTCTCCTGGTCTTCACCACTACACAACAGTGGCTATAATTATTTGCCCCATTGATATAAGGACTTGGGATTTTCAATTCAATTCTATGTAGATCCGGTTCAGTTTTGTACACGGTTTATTTACAGTGGGGACAGGGAATCTGTGACCATTCAGAATTTTGTTACCTGCGAATCCCATCATTGGCCATGCTGGTTGGGGCTGATGGGAGTTAACCACAGATTCACCACTTCCTTCAGCAAGTGGGTACAAGTGGGTAACAAGAGACAGAATAGCATTAAATGTTGCAGGGACACTGGAAACACTTGCCCATTTTCCAGGGTATGCAGAGTCTGGTTGTGGTCTAATGAGAGAAATGTACTCTTACATAAGACCAGAGGCATTCTTTGCATCATGAATGGGTGTTGGCAGTGCAAAAGGTTATTAAGTGTCAGTGAACATGGAAAGCCTTTAAGGTAGGATCCTAGCACATAATAATAATAAATTTACTTTGTGTACCAACCTGCATAGAGGGATAAAACAAGTATTTGTTTTTCTCCAAAATGTATGAACAGCTCTGAAGATATGTAACATTGTAAAACTTGGCAGCAAAATGATACATTTGATGCACCAGTGCTTTTTACTTGTTTATTTTTTCACTTGCCACAGTTTGCTTGCTCGTAGGTTAGAAAACAAAACAAAGCACACATTCAGCAAGGGAGCCTTTATAATACTGAATTCAGATCCACTTGGTAATGCTGTAAAGATGTCTGTCACTAGAGAAACTTGGGGTGCCAGCATTCTTGCGATAATGTTGATGGGATGGCAGTTGACTAGCATATGGATTCCAGGAGAGGTGTATGATTTATTTGGTTTAATAGCAGAGGGGAAGCCAGCTCCTTGCAGAGGTTATTTGCAATGGCCAAAACAAAATCATAAAGTTTGGATTATTGCTTTATGATGTGACAGTGGTGCATATAACATCTCCAGTCCAGCTGGATTCTTTTCAGGAAAAAACGCTGTATGAATGGGTGTCACTATCACATCGAACTGAGAGAGCACAGGGCAGGGCAACTATTTGCCATTTGGCTCTGCATTTCACTTGCTCCTTCTTGGGAAGCTGGAGCAGCACAAAGATTTGAACTCATCACTCCACATTAATATCCATCCTACATTGTATCCTTTCAGTTGTAGGAAATAGGATATGCAAATAGCTACATTTCCTGTGGTACATATATGTGCATTGCAAGCCGTCCCTTAAGCCAAGATCTAAGTCATGGGTAGGCAAACTAAGGGCCAGGGGCCGGATCCGGCCCAATCGCCTTCTAAATCTGGCCCATGGACGGTCTGGGAATCAGCATGTTTTTACATGAGTAGAATGTGTCCTTTTATTTAAAATGCATCTCTGGGTTATTTGTGGGGCATAGGAATTCATTCATTTTTTCTTCTTCAAAATATAGTCTGGCCCCACACAAGGTTTGAGGGACTGTGGAATGGCCCCCTGCTGGAAAAGTTTGCTGACCCGTGATCTAAGTTATAATACTTCTTAGAACCATGTTGAGTTTCTGCACCAAATTTCACTAATCCTACACTCCAACACATTCTCTCTTATCCAGACACACTGGCAGTGCAATCCTATGCATGTTTATCCAGAAGTAAACCCCACTAAGTGGGACTTACTCTCAGATAATTGTTAAAACCTCAGAAGAAAAATCATGCAGTTCCTCTTGCTATCACATGTTCACAGATTAAATCGGATGTTTGTGTTTCAATTTTTTCTGATTAGGTTTTTTTCTTTTTGGTCAGGTTTAATGCAGCATAGGAAAACTGCAAACAAAAAACATTCAGGCTGTATTATGACTGTCTCATATTATTACAGTGTTCGTTTGCTTCTTTAAAAAGCCTTTATCTCACATGGTGAAATCTAGTTATGGTGTTCTGCTTGCAAACAGGACCTGCCCTTCCTCTCCTCCACCCTGCAGCCCCCATGCACCTCTGAAACCTGTTCGTGAGGCGGGGGGACCCTCTGAAACAGATCGAGGCCTGAGGGCTGCAAAGGAAGAGGGAGAAGGCAAGTCCCATCACATCCATTGATGCTATTTATTTAAAAATAATACAAGAATGCCTTTACAAAACTGATAAAAGGAAAATCTCAAGTGACTTTGCACCACATACTTTTCTTAAAAACAAAACAAACCCCCACTTTTCTTCAATAACTCAAAAGTACTTGCTTTAGAATGAATGCAATATTTTCAACGCAAACTGGGTGATTCATCACCACCACCTTTATGGATCTTCCGAGGTCACAATTGTAAGCTTCTGAGACATTTCACTTTGTTAGATCCAAGGCTGTGTGGCAGTTGCTTAAGTTACCGTACTTTGTTTGGAAGCATGAAGCCTTTAAGAACAGGGCTCTGGGAGACTAATGAACACTTTTTGGAAATACTTGCTTTTTGGCAAACCTACAAGTTACGTGTGGGAGTAGAGAGAGCAGACAGGCAGCCAGTCAGGTGGTGCTCATGTGCAAACCATAGAATCGTAGAATTGGAAGGGAACCCAAGGGTCATCTAGCGCAACCCCCTGCAATGCAGGAATCTCAACAAAAGCATCCATGACAGATGGCCATTCAACCTCTGCTAAAAACATTAAAAACCTCCAAGAAAGGAGAATCCTCTTGTGGGAGTCCATTCCACTTCTAAACAGTTCTTACTGTCAGAATTTTCTTCATTATATTTAGTTGGAATCTCCTTTCTTGTAACTTGAATCCATTGGTTCAGGTCCTAGCCTCTGAAGCAGGAAGAAAACCAAGCTTGCTCCATCCTCCTTGTGACAGCCCTTCAGATATTTGAAGATGGCTATCATATCTCCTCTGAGTTTGCTCTTTACCACGCTAAACATACCAGCTCTCTCAAGGCTTGGTTTACAGACCCTTAATCATCTTGGTCGCCTTCTCTGCATGCCAAAGCACCATCAGTTCACACAACCAACAACCTACTCTTTCTAGTCAGCAACAAAACTTACTGGAAGGTATTCAACATTCTCTCCCAATGAGGAACCCAATGAAGGTAATAGACATGACTAACTTTTGTTCATTTCTTCACTTCAGTGGGTTTACTCTGAGTAGGACTTAGCTGCATTCAACCTTGAGCAGTCACTGATAGCCACCAAACACAAATGTCATTAAGTAAGCCCTTTAAACTAACAGCTGTACTTGAGGAAACATCATTTTGCATATCTAGAGGATGATCGTAAGAGTATCTGACACATTCTACCAAATGATTCTGAAGACGTCCTGATCAGTTTTCAAAAGTGGACTATTTCTGGGGTTCCTACCTCCTGTTTCACAGTATTTTTAAATCTCTTTAAAAACTACCAGCTTTTTCTGTGCATTTCTCATGAATATTAAACCTATTAGTTATAACTAGCATGTATTTGACAGAACACAGAACACTTTTCTGTTATTTAACTTCTACTTTCCCCTGTTTTGATTAAGGCTGCAGTACTATACAAACTTACCAAAGAGCAACTGTCATTGAACTCAATGTATCTTATATCTGAAAAGGCATGTGTAGGATTGAACTGTAAAATATTGGGTAATAGCCAACAAACTCATACTCTACAAAGTAAACCCATCACCCACAGATTAGAATAAGGAAAGCTCCTCGTCTCTAGTTTAGAAACAGAAAAGCTTCCTGAACTTACCGTATTTTTTGCACCATAAAACTCACTTTTTTCCTCCTAGAAAGTAAGGGGAAATGTCTGTGCGTGTTATGGAGTGAATGCCTGCGGGTGGCGGGCGGGATCTGCTGCAGTCGTGAGCAGAGGATCCATGGTTCCCCTTCCTTCCCTCCTCCGTGGTTATAAAGCATGGATCCACATGGATCCTCAGGATTTTTGCATTGGGCTACTCCAAACTCACTGTCAGATCACATGTCTGTGGCCACAGCATGAACCACAAAAATCATATATCCACTATTTCGTTTAGAATATTTTTTTTCTTGTTTTCCTCCTCTAAAAACTACGTGCGTGTTATGGTCTGGAGTGTGTTATGGAGCGAAAAATACGGTAATTTGTTGGTAAGCAAATTGCCTGGAGAAACATCATGTGGTTATGCAACATACCAGCAAAGTTATACTGTATTGAATTTACAGGGTTCAGTCACAGTTCATTAGCTGACAAGCAGCTTTTAATCTTTTAATGTGTGCCTGCATGTTAAAAAAACCTAAACATTACATTTGAGACATATAGTAGTTCCTGGCAAGTTGGGGGTTGGTTTTCTTTAAAATGTAATTAAATATATCTTTGCACCTATGCCATTTGAGCCAGTTAAATAAACATGATTACTTATTTCAAAAGGGATTAGATTTTATAATGGGCTAGATAAAGGTGTAGAAAATACCTTGCCATAATAGAAATGGGGGTTTTTTTGTTTGTTTTTAAAAATAAACCTAGTTATCCAAGTTTCCAAGGAAAGTTCAAATCATGTAATAGGACAAAGTACAGAAACAAGAAGTAGAAAAAAAATATAAGATTGGGAATAGGAAACAGAGGTTGTGAATAGGAAGCAGGTCTGTATTCTGTTAATGCTATTTATTCTATGATAAATGAAATAATGTGTGTACAATTGAATTAGAAAACACATAATGGAAAAAGGTAATGTGTAAGTGCACTTTCTCATAATTCACTGCCATAATATGACTATATGAACCTAATGGTGGTATCCAATGGTGTCTGCCCACTGATGGAAGGAGTCCAGCAACGGAAATGGTAACAGGGAGGCAATTTTCTGCAATTCCCTATCTATCTCTGTAGCAGGCAAACAATTCATGGACAAACTGGATGTGTCTGCTACAATTCTAGAATTACGCTATTAAAATAATTTAGAATGGATTGCAATGCTAAAATAAATTGCAAATGTTTAAGGGTTTAGTCCTAAACTTGTATAAACCTGGCCCATGAAAAAGATTGCTAGCATATTGCTATTAATTAATTCATCCTGTAAGTTTAAGAAATGCTGATCCAATATACACAGAGCATTTTTCACCTTATTGTTTAATATGAAAGTATATTATTGTGACCTTACTACAGATATACAGAAATGGGGTTTTGTTCTAGTAATGTTAATTTGTGCTTGATGTAGAGTATACCGTATATGCATGTAACTTGCACTGGTATTCAACATCTATTTAATCTTGTGAATTGCCCTGTGATCTTTGGATGAAGGGCAGTACATAAATTTAATTAATAAATAAGTAATTTGTGCTTGGTAGCAGCATCACAATTTATCAAATATCAGAATATCCATGTTGAGTTTGAGCAGTACTTTCAATAAATCTCATGAAAATCAATTGTGGGGGGGGGGGAGGTTTCTGCAGCAAGTACCTTGAGATCTGTTCTTCCTCTGACTTCACTGTTTGATTTAAGTAAAGGAAAATGGCACAAGAATTATATAACCATATTTTTATTACATTTCAGAAGTCTTTTTATTAAAAAAAACCAAAAACCTGTGTCAGGTGGGCAATTAACACTAGGAAAACATCATAGCTGAAATGTTCCATTGAGGTATACAGATCTCTATATATGAAAAGGAACTTGTGTTAAAAGTTGCCATGCTTTATTTTGTGAGCTGTGCAGGCAGAAACATTTTTCTGTGTTTATAAAAATATTCCTGGTACAATTAAAGTGTTGTTGTGCCAGAAAATTGTAACAATTGGATAAAGATTCTAGGAAGAAATGGCTGAAACATTTATGTTATCTCTTGTTGGACAAAAGTGATTCTAATTCAGTACTGGAGGAGACAGCTGTACAGCTGTAAATTGTTAAACTCTACTGTTAGATGTAAACCATTTAAATTAGATTGCAGCAAATTACTGAATTGGGATTTGCTTGTACAAGTGATAGTGCAAGCAATTCAGCAGAACACTTCTCTGTCTCCCCCCACCCCATGCTGTCTATCGATTAAAAAACTCTTCAAAGCATACAAGCCCCATCCAGAGAAGTAAATCTTTCTTCAATCCTTTTAAAACCATTGGAACTAAAGTCAGTTGGAACTAGCATGTCTTGTGAATTTCAACCTGGTCTGAGTGCAACTCAATTTCTCTGGACGAGGTCAATGCTATTTACCATCAGCAGTATGTTGATTTCTGTACTGTGCCACATTTGATTTCCCAGAGCATACTCTACTTATGCTGACAGGAGTTCTGTTTAGATTTTTTGTTCTGAATGAAGCCATAATAAATTATTAGCTTGCAAATTCAACTCCCAGGAACTGGGCTCCCCTTTGTTTGCATTATGTCAATTATGCAGTTGGCACATGCCTCAAAATAACAAATAGTCAACACAGACAAGACCACTAAATCAATATTTCTCACAAGCTCAGAATAATTTGGCATTCTCTCTATATATTATGGGCTTCTGTTGATTAACTGCTAGATTATTTTGTACTCTGGGAAACTGCTTAATGTGTCCTGTTTTAATGTGTCTGTTCATGGATTTCATGAGTAACTTGAGAATCTTGGGTATTTCCTCAAAATAATGCAAGAGCATTCAAGGTCTTGCTAATCAGAATATGCATTCCTGGGGATGAAAACATGTTTCATACAGCTGCTTCTCAGAAAAATGAATATAAATATATATATATATAAAATACAGTACAGAGAGAAACTATGGTAAGGTAATTTATACGAGCTATGAAGCTCATCAGTGTTATGATCTGCAGTGATGCCCACCACTAGGGAGGAGTGATGCCCCCCCCCCAAAGGGAAGGTCAGTAGTTCCTGGTTGCCCGGGCAGGCAGGATGGCAAAGCTTGGCAAAGTCTGTCCCTTGGAGGAAGAAAGAAGGTGTGGTTCAGGACCACAAATAGTGCTCCTGTAGCTGAGGGTGGCAAAACGTTGAACTTGTTCTGGAGCAGCTAGTTGAGTTTTATAGTAATACTAGGTAGTCATTAACTAGAAGCCCCAACTCTGAGTGCTGCACCCTGGTGAGTTAAATGGCTGGTGTATTCTTCAGACATAGGTTCCTTTGAGGTCCTGAGGTACCTGGCTGTGGGGGATCTCTCCTCAGGGCTCTCTTGATCCCCTGAGGAGTCTGTGGACTAGCTATCAGAGTCTGTTGTGGCTCATCAGGATCCAAGGGCATGAGGTTGTGCCTGTGGATGCACATGGGAAAGCCCGTGGTGTGGATCCGTCTCCTTCTCAGAGCTGCAGTTTCCAGAGGTCTCCACCTCTGAAGGGTCCTGGTCTGCGACTATGACTCAGCCACTCACTGTCTCTCAGTCTAACCAACATGGCAGGATCATTGTGACATTAAAATGAAGGCGCAGAGTGAGAATAATTTGCACCGCCTTCAGCTCCTCGGAAGAAAGGGAGGATATAAACGTAATAAACAAAATAATGGATAAATCACATAGAAGGAAGCATCTAAGCAGGTGTAATGAATCGAAGCTAGACTCTACCTACTTTTGCTTCTGGCCCCTCACTATTAGCATGTGGCCCTTGGAATGTGGCCCAGAAGTGAATGTGATACTCAGGCTGAAAATTTTGCTTCATAATACCTGTTGCTGGAAACCACAGGAGTGGAGAGTGTTATTGTGCTCAAGTCCTGTTTGAGGACTACCATAGTGAGAACAAGATGCTGCAGGCTCTTTCATTCCTAAAAAAAGGTTCTCTGCTCCTGGTCTAGTTTGGCCTTCAAAATGCGGCTAAGTTTTAACCATTCTAAACTTTTTGTGTAACGTACATTGGATTAAGAGCATCAGGCAACACTTGTGCAGTGTTTTTCCACTTTGAATTCTGCTAGTGGTTTAGGTTCCCACCTTAACTATCATTCTTTGATTAGTATTTGGCTCTTTTGTGATTGGACCTCTGAGATGAATACACTGAATCTGCAAAAACTGTAATAAGGAGCCTGTAAAGTATGATGAAGGATGCAATTAAAACAGACTGTTCTGGAGGCATTAACCATTTATAATGCTCTTAAAAGCTCCTCTAAGGTTTGGTCCAGTTGCTTAAAATACCTTGGTGGTCAAAAGGGCTATTTGCTGATGCAGTAAGGACAGGTTTAGGTCATCCCTCTTGAAATGCACGAAATAATGGTGGTGGGGGGAATCTGATCTCATAAGATTCTATTTTCATTAAACTGAGGCTCTGTGATTTAGAGGCTGGGACTCCCATCAGCCACAGCCAGCATGGTCAACATCTGGAGTATCTCAGGTTATCCACCCCTCTTCTAAAAGATGGCTAGGTATACACTTCAGGTATCCTTTGTAACATATATTGACTGGTCCGAACAATTCTTGATCTCTTGAATTGTTGTATACTTCCTGTGGTGTTTCCCTTTCCATAATTATTTTGTGCATTGTCTTTTCAAGCAGTTTATATTTTACTCCACATTATCAAGACGCTTCCGTGCCTTTATGCTTCTGCTCTACGTCCAAACTATTTGCAACACAAGCTGAAGCAGAACTGAAGTTGAGCTCACTGTTACACAGAGACTCTGCTTGTGTGAATATAAGCCTAGCAACAGCTTGTTCAGATCGTGCTATGAATGGTCTCTTGAGAAGCCCATAAAAGAATTAAAACATATCACCTGAGAAATGTGATGTTGATAATTTTCCATGCTTGAGCTTCTGTTTGCATTCACCACAGCAAAGGCACTTCTGAAGTGCTGAATACTCTCAGCATTCAGAGAGCAAAGTGATTGAGTGGCTGAGGAAAAATAAGCTCCATTGATTCCCCATGGAAGATAATGATTGGATGATTGGTTTCTTTAACACAGAAAAGCACTGACATTTAAAACTGCTCTATTTTCAGGGGTTTTGATGGTAATTATTTCAAAGGCAAATTGTAATTTTTGCTTTCCTGCTGTGCCTGCAGCTTGATGTCATTTTGCACAGGTGAATTTTACTCTTAGAACTGAGACACAAAGTCAAAGCCAGTGGGGCTTTACACTTTCAACAGAACAAGAAAAAACCCCTCAGACATTCAGCAGCTGCTCCTGAAAACTATATTTTAAAAGTATAAGAAGACTGTTGAGGTTCATGTAAATTTACAACACTGTTTATATAAAAGTGAGCTCTTAAAATTTAATTCATTTACTATACTATCCTGATGCTCTTCCAAAGCAGGCAGAGTGTCTTAGATATTGTTTCCAACTACCACCCTGGCAGAAAATAGGGCCAGAAACCTGCTGGACTCCAACAGCTGACTTGTTTTCATAGAACCATAGAATTGTAGAGTTGGAAGGGACCACAAGGGCCATCAGGTCCAACCCCCCTGGGTTTCACCCAATGTGCTTTACATGCCTTCAGACTATGGGGGAGGGGCTCCCTTTGGAAAATTCCACTCACTTTTTTCACATGCCCTGTAGATTAGAACTGCCATTATTTATTGGGTTGGATCCAGTCTTTGCTTCTGCTAATAGAGCAGGGTGGAGCAGAGGGAAGGCAATTCTCCCCCTCCTTAAAAAACAAAAAAGGTCACTGGGGGCTGCAGGCGGAAGGTGGATATCTGCAAAAGTCACATCTACTCTTATTTGCTTATTCACTTATTCACTTCCATGGGCAGAAAGAGCCCCTTGGTCCAAGGAAGATAAAGTCTGGATTGAAGCCATTGTGCTTCTTTTTAATATTTACTTAACCACCTCACGCTGGGACAGATAAGAACAATTAAACAATAGTATTGAAGGTTGTGTACAACACTGGGACCAAGTTATTGTTGTTACCATTAACTTAAGGATGACCTGTAAATGTTGCCCACTTTGGCAGATTTTAGCTTGCTTAAATACATACATACATACATACATACAGTTACTTATGTTGTCAGATAAGAGAGAACCAGTGTGGAGTAGTGTTAGAATGTCATACCAGGACATGGAAGACCAGGGTTCAGATCCCCACCCATCCATGAAGCTCACTGGGTGACCCTGGGCCAGTCACTGCTTCCCAGCTTAACCTACCCCACAGGGTGATTGTAGGGATTAAATAAGAAGAGGGAGAACCATATTTGCCACCTTCAGTCAGCTTCCTATACTTTGGATTCTTCTGTTACTTGGGAACAAGCCTCATTGAACTTGCTGAACCTTGCTTCTCTGAGTAATCATGCACAGGATTCAACAGTGAAAATACTATACAAATGAATAATAATATTGTATTGAATAAAGGCCTGTACTTAGCCATGGAAATACATAGTTTGAGCTAAGCAAACTTTTTTGTGGCTTAATATCAAAACAGTTGTATAAATGCTCCTTTCTATGTTTATACTTTCCCTTCCTCTTTATTCTTTCTCTTGGACAGATCAGTAACATCATGAACCAAGCACACGTGGAAGTCTCAGGACACCACTTGGAACAGTATGGATGTCTAAGAAGACTGTTTCCCTAGCTGAGTAACTTTGCATCTCTTTAAGCTATAAAATGCATGGACATTATGGTGACCAGCTAACGAAGGCAAAGTTGGAGAAATGATGGGCGGTTATTCTGTCAGAACCTTATTTTTTTAACAGAGTTTTTGAAATCGCAGAGAAAGACGATGACAATCAATACCGATCAATTGGATGTTCCAGCCATGGAAGACAACTCAAGTTTTTGGGACAGTTTGATATATGCACACCCAATCTGTGTCAACTGGAAGTCGGAAGCAGAAGGATCAATCTATCATTTGGCCAGTATCTTGTTCGTTGTTGGCTACATGGGTGGAAGTGGCATTTTTGGCCTGCTCTACGTCTTCTTTTTGCTTGGACTAGGTTTTCTCTGCTCGTCTGTCTGGTCATGGCTGGATGTCTGTGCAGCTGACATTTTCTCTTGGAATTTTATACTGTTTGTGATATGCTTTGTACAGTTCATTTATGTGGCCTACCAAGTCCGGAGTGTTGCCTTTGACAAAGAATTCCAGGAGCTTTACCTTGCTATGTTCCGGCCCCTGGGGATTTCAATGACAATTTTTAGAAAGATCATCCTGTGCTGTGATGAAGAAGTAGTTACACTGGAGAAGGAGCACTGTTATGCCATGCAGGGCAAAACACCAATTGATAAGCTCTCCTTGCTTCTGTCAGGAAGGTTTGTATCATTCTTACACCCTGCTTGTAAATTTAGAAACAGAACAATAATCAAGAATGTTATCTTTTTCTTTTTCTTTTGTTCCTGCTTAAACTGATTGCAGTAGGCTCAGCATTTCTGACACTTTAAACTTGAGTGCAAAAACATTTCTACTACCAAAGATGCCACAGCTTAAGGAGGGGAAGAAGGGTGTGTTTTAATTATCACTTGTAGTCTACAAATCCATGCAAGTGCCAAAAAACATTAACTCTGCAGCTTCTGGTGAGACTTCGCTTCCCTGGAAGAATAGCTTTCATAATTTTTCTTTCTTTTTTCTATAAAAAGCACCTATATAAATAAAAAATGTAAAGAGAAATGACTGCTTGGAAGTGTGAATTGAGTTTTAGAAAATAGGATTACCAGGCAGTGTGTGTTTCTCTTTCCCCTCTTCATAGCAGATTCCCTTTTTACATTGCTCTGCCTCCCTCCTTGCCCTCAGCCATGCTTTCTGCTATGTAATGTAAAGTCTAAAAATTAACTTGGATACTGTATTTCTGAACACTAAATTAAGTAACCTTGTTCACCACTGTGTATTCTCTAAAACCATTCTGCTTTATGAGTGTGTGTTGTCACAAAACAGACAAGGTAATGGAGGAGAGCAGTGCTTTCTATGTGACCAGTTTCATCTCTTTGAAGATCTGGGAATTGAGAGATCTTTTTTTTAAAAAAAATCCTTAAATTGGTGTGTGAGTTGTGCCTAATGTGCCACCAATCTAGGGGAAGCTCCATCTGTCACATTGTCGATAGAAGATATGGCACATTTTCTGGTCCCTGTGTGTCAGCAGAGATCTGCTGCCTGTACGTGGTAGCCCTTCTGAAACTGGCAAATGCCAATCAAGGCCACCATTTTGTTTCCAGCAGTGGTCAGCCAAGTACTTTTGGAAATTCATAAGCAGTGCTTGAAGGCAAGTCCTCTCCTGTTTGCTCATAGGCATTCTGACTCTGAATACTGGTTTCATTTACATGTTGGCCAATAGCAATGGATTGACCTACCTTCCATAATGTTGAATAATCCTTTTTAAAAAGGTTTTCTAAGCAAGCATGGTGCCACCACATCTTGATGGTAACAACATCCATCAGTTAACACCCAATGCATGAAATATATGTCTCAAAATCGGACCCCCTCCTTCCTGCCTCCATATATAGTCGGGTATCCATGCTCAGATACATATTTGGATGTGCATTCGATTCCTGATCCAGTAACTGATCTGTGAACACATCGCTTACTTGGATCAGAGTGCAGAAACACATAATGGTCCACTTTTGTACAGTTTTGGAAAACTTCACCAAAGGAAGGAGGATCTCAGTTATAAAAATATCAGTGCACAGATATAATTTTAGCAAAATGATAAAAAGGCTGGGTTAGTCCTAAAGACACATTATTCCTCAATGCAGCTCCCTTATTCCTCTGGCGCTGTAGCTTATGAGTCAGGCTTATCTTTTGGGATGGATGACTTTGAGAAGTGCAAACTCCTGTTTGTTTCTTGTACGTGGACTCTGTTTTATACATTTTTGTGTTCTGAAAAACTCAGTGCAAAGGAGATTCAGGAACTCTTCAGGAAGACATGAATAGGAATTATTTTTTGTTCCTTGCATGTGCAAATGGTATTATTAATGTATTGTCACTTGCTGCTTATAACATTTGAAAGATGAACATTTTATGTATGAAATTTATTATCCAACTTCCCAACATAATTTGGCATAAAAATGGAAAACTTTGAACTGTGTGAGATAACGTTTAATATCTGCTCTCTTTGATATCCTGCAGTATGTCTAGTATTCACCCAAAATGAAAATGAAGCTCTTTTGATTGTTATGAAATCTGTGGAAACTAAATTTTATCCATACCCAGCCGTTGCTTTTTTAAAAGAACTAATCTAATTCCTTTTCTCTGTGCTAACAATATTAACACACTGCTCTGTTTTGTTAGGATCAGAGTGACAGTGGATGGGGAATTTCTGCATTATATTTTCCCCCTCCAGTTTCTGGATTCTCCTGAATGGGATTCACTAAGACCCACAGAAGAAGGCATTTTTCAGGTAGGGGGATTTTGCAGATATGATGGATAATCTAACATCCTCTCTTTCGCAGAATCCAAGATGCAAAGACTCCAGCAACTGCTCAGCCAAAATGAAAGCTTGCTTGAGGACAAAGGTCCTTTCTAATGATGTAGAGCATTCAAACTGGAGTAAACATTTGAGGATGCTATGGATTTAGATCTTTTTTATTTCCTTCTTCCATCCAGCAGCAGTGAAATCACAGGTGCTTACAGGCAGAAACACTCAACATGAGAATTTGTGTAAATACTCGTATCTGGGATAGCTTGCAATGCCAGCCAGTGAGGTTTCCCTGATATTGAGGCTCTCTCTGCACAGGTGCTACAAATTCAAAGAGCCAAGCATTCTTTTACTAACATCTGCACACACGTAATGCAGAAAATAGGGTTGCGAAATAAGTGATTGATTATATTTCATAGTGAGGCCTTTAAAAAAAATGATGATGGAAGTAAAAAGATTTCCAGATCCAGAGAGAACATTTTGAAAGCTTTTCTCTTGCTCCTCATTCCACCTTATAAGCCCATTTCTTAAGCTGATATAATTGGAAACAGATCTATTGATTTGCCATTTGTACAGAACACATGCTCCTCCTCCTGTCTGCACATGCACAGCATTCTTTAAACCAATGGTTTTCAACCAGTATGCCGTGGCACCCTGCGGTGCCTTGGATGATGGTCAGGGGTGCTGCGGGCAACACTGTCCCTCTTTCTTTCCCTCCCTCCTCTGATGCTCTCTTGCATCTCTGCCTCCCAAGAGACTTGCACAGCTGCTTGTTGCCGCAGTCCTGGCTACAAGCTCCCCAGGTGAATGGTGCCTCTGGGGCTGGCCAGGATGTACTTTCCAGGCCCCTGTGGGGCAGTGGGAGGAGGCACCTCTCTTTGGGGCAAGGGGGACAGGTCAGAGACCAGCGGTGGCAGCTGCCTAGAGGACTCCCAAGGAGAGGGAGAGGAGGCTGAGGGAACACTCCACAAGGGAGGGGGTTCGTAAAAGGGTGAGAGGCGGCTAGCTCTGCAAGCAAGGGGTGACTTAACTGGATTCCTGAGCCCCACAGGGGTGCTACAGAAAGACTTTAGTTGGTCAAGGGAGCTGTGGACTCAAAAAGGTTGAAAACCTCTGTTTTAAACTGTAAAAATGGACCCTCCCCGGAGTATAAAAGGTTACAGAGTAGGGTGGAGAGTGTATGCCCTCAACTGGTCTCTCAAAAGATGTCCCCACTTGCTGCCCCCATATATAGTCGGTATCCACGCTCAGATACATATTTGGATGTGCATTCAGTTCCTGATCCAATAACTGATCTGGGAACACATCTCTTCGTTGCATCAGAATGAGGAAACACATAATGGTCCACTTTCCTTCACCAAAGGAAGGAGGATCTCAGTTATAAAGACATCAGTGCACGGATATAATTTTAACTTTCTGTGTTCTCTCTCCTTCCCCTTCCCTCTCTCTCTCTCAATGTTTCTTTCAGGTAACCCTCACAGCAGAAACAGACTGTCGATATGTGGCCTGGAGGAGAAAAAAAATGTATTTACTCTTTGCTAAACACCGATTCATCTCACGGATATTTTCGATTCTGATTGGGAATGACATTGCCGATAAGCTCTATGCCCTGAATGACAGAGTGAACCTGGGGAAAGGATTCCGATGTGACATCCGCTTACCAAACTTCTATCATGTGTCCATTCCAGAGGCACCCAAAATGCAACCTGTAAACCAGATTCAGCACAGTTCAAGACAACATTAACTAATATTGTAAAATGTGACTGTGTTTCAGCATGATGCATTTTGCGTTCATTGCACCTGGAATGAACCATGGCAGTTTCATAAAAAAAACGAATGGAAGATTCTCATTAAGGCAACTTTAAAATAAAAGCGATTTTTTTCCAGCGGAAAGGAAGAGAAAAAACTAGCTCAGCTCCTTTCACCGTGTCTAAGCTACCAGGATGCCCATCTTGACTGATCGTGCGTTATGATTAGTTTCTGTTTACTCCTTCTGCTCATCTTACTATGTTGCGGGGGATGGGGGCGCAGATATAAATTATTATGGGATAAAGCTTTGTTGTAATTGTGGTGCCTTGGATATTGTGGTCTCAAAAATGACATTTGCACAGAGCTCTTCATGTTTATTGAGGCCTCCTTGTCATCATGAATTATGCAAGCAGTTTTATCTTAGAGAACAGCAACATGCAGACCATCTCTAAAAAGTAATCTTGACTCACTTGTTACTTGGTAATTACAATGCATAAATTTGGTCTCATTTTGCAGTGCCTTTCAGAAGATGACACATGAAACAGGAAACTGCACAGCCTGTAAAACCTGAAAGAAGGCTAACCATTTCTTTCTTGGATACATTCATGAAGTGATGACTTGAGATTTCTCTAAGGGTATTGCAGAGAGGCTATACATGAAAACAAAAGGCACTTTGAGTACAAAGCATGTGCCAGTCACTTTAATTGCTGCAACATATGTAGCAGGGAAAGAATATTCAGGTATTTTAATTGAAAGTAGAGCAGCAGGTATCCTAGCTGTGGAGAGAGAGCAGTTTTCTAAGAACGGTAGTAGTATGATAAATGCAACATTCCCCATGGTATATACATTCATTTCTGTTAACCCACTATTGCCTCTAGTCAAATAGGTTTTGCAGGTTTTTAAGACCTGCAAAAACCTGCTGAACCTGTGAACTGAAATAGCAACATTGCTCTGTGGGCAATTACTACCATGCTACCACAAGCTCTTAGAGAGAGAAAAATACCATCAGCTTCCATGTCTATAAAGAAGATACAAAAGCAAGCCATCAGATCATCCAGTAGATTTGTGAATGTTCATATAAAACATGTGATGCAGGGAGACATGGTTTAAATTATAACTCCTCATCCCTGCAACAGCTTTGTTTGTTATTTCCATTTGACAGAAATATCAGATTGTGATTTTCCCCAAGGTTTGAATCCAGATCCAAGCACCGCTAATGTCATTATCATATGGTACATTATAAATACTGAATGTTACCATATCAAGGTTAACTACCCCAGTTCCATGGTTATGTCATCAGGTGTGGCCACTTTGGTTAAATGGTGATAGTAAGATGGCTTGAATGCCTGTTGTCCATAAGTAACGCTTTATACATCAGAGTGTTCAATGAAACAGCAAAACACTTCTGCTTGTATTCCAGAAGAGAGTCCTGCTCACCTATCTTTATGCAGAAAATCAGTGACCTAATATGGATAGTTATACCAACGCAGCAAGTGAGATTTCTGAAGCAGCTGATGGTGGTGGTTTTAGTGCCTACTGATGGAAAAAATTGGTGGAGATGGGCATACTTTTCAAGGGACAGAAGATGCACTTAACTAACTAAGCCCAAATGGAAAGGGATATTATGAGCTCTTCTGAGTGCACCTAGAAGATTTGGGAGTCTAGTGGAATGTTTTACTTTGAACAGCATGCCTTCTCCCCATGCAATTTAATTGTTTATGAAATGGTCCTCTGTTCCAAAACTTGGTGGTTGACATGGGACATGCTTGAGAAACTGAAGTCCCAAGCCCTCTTTGTCATGCCAAACTAGTTTGCTGCTTGTTCATTAGAACCTGGTTTACATTTATTTTTTTATAAAGATGCCAGATTTTATTTTTACCATTTTATATAAAAGATCAAGGAGGAAGACAACTCCACAATATTTTATACTATAAACTTTATAGTAATGAAAACAGAAACAATCACATAAACATTAAGTATGTGTGAAATGACTTGATCTTATTAATGTTATGGGGCTGGATGATCTATTGCGTATGTTACTGCTCAGTTCATCCTGTAGTTACTTTTCTTTTAAGGAGGAAAAGGTGTAAAGGCTTTTCTATTTACATGTCTGATACACCAAAAAGAATGACTAGTTTTTGTGGAGCAATATTGAAGAGTCTATAATCAGAAATGCCATAATTTCTTTAACTCTGTCAGAAAGCTGGAGACTGTTTGGTGAAGGTCTGCTCCTGTAAACATTTTGAGCCAAGGCTCTTTGGAAATGAAAAAAGTGCACCATCCTGGATCTGCCTGGCCCCTGGCTGTTATATGCAATTTAAATTGTTTAGTTCATTCATTATTATTGGTTGTATCCAGTGTTAATCCCACTGAGAGATTGGTTGTATCCAGTGTTATTCCCACTAAGAGTCTACCCATTGAAATTAGTGTACATGGCTGACTTAGGTTCATTAATTTCAATGCATCTACTATGACTATATCTTAGTAGAATACAACACTCTTTTTACATTCCAGCCTGTACCTTCAAGCCATATTTTTGAAAGCACTGCTGTGCCAGATCTGGATTGTCTTATATTGTCCACACTCTTGCTTCTTGTTAGGAATTGAATTTTCTAGACTTATTAATTCAAATAAAACCCAATATACTGGACTAGGAGTAATCCAAATGGAATCACTTCCAGTGGTATAGTATACATGGTGAGATCCAGATTTGCACTCAGCACAGTCCCACTTGTGCCAGAGGAAGGAGATAGAGGAGTTATTTTATGGGAGAGTTGGTGAAGGAAGTGTTGAGGATGGTGGGGTTTGGTAAATATCTACCACTACCTCTGATGGGAAACATCTGCCAGAGCTCAGGGTCTTCTGTGACTGTCTTCAGATTCCTTGACAGATGGGACAATCTTTGGTTTGTAGTATTACGGATTTTGTTGCATTTTTTTGTTCATACTCAGGGGAAGTCAGAAATAGGCAAAGGTAATTTTATATATGCTATCAGCTTTAAATAAAATGTTCCAGTGTTTGACTTTTCTGTACTGAACTTGTTTGACCAAGGTTGTAAAAATACATATTTTACAAATGTTGGGATATAATGTTCAGTAAGAATACCTTATTTTCTTAACAGTCCAGAATAGTTTTACATCATGTACTTGATATAATATGTGGAAAGTTTCAGAAGTAGTTTCACAGTAACTTTATATTTCAGACCTTTATATAAGGCAGGTCTGTTCTGCACCTATGCTATTGCCCGCACAAAATAAGTCAGATTATTTAGAACATCACTTTGAAATTTTAAGATAATAGCCATCATGGTTGTGGTAGAGCATTTAAATCTGAAGACTAGCTATTGATTAAACTTGGTGTTTTCATTTGAACTTAGTGCGAGGACTTTGTTGACTGGGCAGTTGGGTGGTCAACAAAATAAACGTCTGGCCCACGTATGTAGAAGCATCTTCCCTATATGAACTGTGGGGACAGACGATTCTTCTGTAGTTCCTAATGCAAAGGAACATAGGAACCTGCCTTATTCCAAGTCAGACCATTGGTCCATCTAGCTCAATATTGTCTACACTGACTGGCAGCAGCTCTCCAGGGTTTCAGGTACGTGACATTTCCAACCCTACTACCTAGAACTTTCAGGGACTGAAGCTGGGAACTTCTGCATATGTTTTGCCACCTGCCTGTGGCCCTTTCCAACATGCTGCAGCAGCT